AAAAAAAAAAAAAAAAAAAAAAAAAAAAAAAAAAATCTCTTCCTCCAGCCCCAGTGCCTTATGTATAAAAAGAGGAACTTTCCAGCTCTTCCTCTTTGTTTCGTCCCTTGCCTCCTTTTACCATTGTTCTGTTCCTTGTCCCTCTCCCACCCCTCCCCCCACCTCCAGCCACAAGAATGTGTACAAGGAGAAATGGAGGCTGGGTGCAAGTGGTTCACACCTATAATCCCAGCGCTTTCAGAGGCCGAGGTGAGAGGATTGATTAAGGCCAAGAGTTTGAGACCACCCTGGGCAACAGAGCAAGACACCATCTCTAGAAAAAATAGAAATTAGCTGCGTGTGGTGGCACACATCTGTAGTCTGAGCTACTTGGGAGGCTGAGGCAGGAGGATCCCTTGAGCCCAGGAGGGTGAAGATGTAGTGAGCTGTGATCATGCCACTGCACTCTAGTCTGGGTAATAGAGGGAGACCCTGTCCCTTCAAAGAAAAGGGGTTGGGGGAGAGTTGGGGGGCTGAACCTGAAAACTTGACCTTTACCCCTTAGGCTTAGGAGAGGGCTTCAAACGGTGACTATATTGTTTTCTTTGTTTCTTTACTGTTTTCTTCTGGACTGCTGGCATTCTGTGACCATGTATCTGCCTGTGAGTCCCGGGACAGGCTCCACTCAGGCCCTGGGCATATCTTGATACCAAGGTTCCACATTAGCTCCATTTGTAAATAACACAACATAGATCCCCAACATTCCTGCCCAGCTTCTAAACTCTACCCCGTTTAAAAAGGAGTCCAGAATGCTTCAAGATCAGAATCTCTGTGAGATGCTAACAGAAGTGACAAGCGTTCTGGGGAAGAGAGGAATGGAGGCTGAGGCGGGCTGATGGGGCTCCTGGTCCTGAAGCTGGGCATCTGGACACCCTGCCCCTCCACTCTACCCCCAACTCCCTGACTGCTGCTTCAGCCATCCAGGAGTGTTGCCATACTGATCTGGGGTCTGTGGGGGACCAGGAATGACCACAGCTGTGGCCATTCTCCCTGTGGCATTGCGGCCTTGGCCTCTGAGGCTGTGGGCATCAGGGCAATACACAGGCCTGGTCCAGATGAAGCAGAGCTGTGCCTATGAGCCCTGCCTGCCCTCGCTGCCCACTGGAACACGCCCCTTCCCCTGGCCAGGCTTCGGTTTCCCTGTGATATCAGTGAGGGTGGGGCCCCAATTTGCCATGCAACCTGGCACTAAGCACCCACCCTGTCTTCTTTCCGCTCACGGCCGCAGCTGGACATCGTGGAGTTCATCCCCTCTCTCCTCTACTTTGGCTACACGGCCCTCATGGTCTTGTCCTTCTGGCTGCTCACGGGCACCATTGGCTTCTATGCAGCCTACATGTTTGTCCGTAAAATCTATGCTGCCGTGAAGATAGACTGATTGGAGTGGACCACAGCCAGGCCCACTCCATCCTCGGACTGGAAGCCACCCTGCGTGGGGGACTGCAGGCACGCAAAATAAAATAACTCCTGCTCATTTGGAATGTAACTCCTGGCACAGTGTTCCCGGATCCTGGGGCTGCGTGGGGGGCGGGAGGGCCTGTAGATAATCTTGCATTTTTCTTCATCTTATTCCAGTTCTGTGGGGGATGAGTTTTTTTGTGGGTTGCTTTTCTTCAGTGCTGAGAAAGTTCCCTCCAACAGGAACTCTCTGACCTGTTTATTCAGGTGTATTTGTGGTTTGGATTTTTTTTCCTTCTTTGTTTTAGCAAATGGATCCAGGATGGATAAATCCACCGAGATAAGGTTTTGGTCACTGTCTCCACCTTAGTTCCTCAGGGCTGTTGGCTACCCTACGACTAACTGGAAGAGAACACGTCAGGGCTTCAGTGAGGTTTCCAAGCCTCTCCCTGCTCATCCTCACCGCTGAGGCCATGACAAAGCACAGCTTCAGCCCGGACAATACCCTCAGTGCCAGCAAGCCTCTGCCAGCCCTCTGTCTCCCTCTTCTCCCCAGGGCTGCCCAAGGCCTCGGGGTCATCTTTTCACCAGGAGCAAACCCAAGTCTTAGTTGCTACAAGAAAATACCCTGGAAGTATTGGGGGCCAGGTTCCCCTGACAGCAGGAATCACCGCTGTTCAGAGCAGCTGGAGTTTGCTGGACCAACAAGGAGGAAGACAAGAGACTTGCAGTGAACTGTTTTTTGTGCCAAGAAACCCTGGATCTGGAGCCAAGTGTTTTTCCAAGCCATGCATCCACTTGTCTGTGTCTGGGAAGGGATGGTCAAGGCTGCTAGGGTCCTTACCCTCAGGATCGCTCCCTGGTCCTTTCCCTGGGAGGTGCCGCTCTCCAAGGTGTGCTGGTAGTGGGCCCTGCCCGACTTCAGGCAGAACAAGGAGACCCAGAGATCACAGAGCCCCCTCCTGTGAGTGGCTGGGCGTCCTCTCCCTGCCCTCTCTGGCCTCCGGGGTCATACTCAGTTCTTTAGCCAGCCCCTCCCCTCCATCCCGCACCTGAGTTCTTGTCTCCTCCTTCTGGGGACACCCAAAACACTGCTTGTGAGAAGGAAGATGGAAGGTAAGTTCTGTCATTCTTTCCCCAACCCCCAGGAATAGACAAGAAGCCAACTTAGAAAGAACGGGCTCACATGGCTGACCTGGCTCCTCCGTAGAGCCCTGTTCTTCCCAACCTCTGCCCCGCTGTGCATATCACAAACATTTGCTCTTAAGTTACAAGAGACAAAATCCACCCAGGGATTGGAGTTCAAATAGCCGCTAACCCTTGCACCAGCCCTTGTGGGGCTCCCAACACAAGACAAAGCTCAGGATGCTGGTGACGCTAGGAACGTGCCCCTCCCCTTACTGCCCCACGTCTCCCGGTGGCCCTACCAGCCACACCCATCAAACCAGTGAAGTTCTCAATCTTGCCTCAGTGACTGCAGCGCCAAGCAGCATCCACCAAGCATCAGGTTGGAAAGAAGGGAACCCAAGCAATAGAGAGCGATATTGGAATCTTTTGTTCATCAAATCCTGGATTTTTTTTTTCCCCTAAGAGATTCTGTTTTTAGGGGAAAGGGGAAACGGACACCTCATAAAGAGTTCAAACATCATCAATTTTTCTGACTTTTTAAATCATTATTATTTTTAATTAAAAAAAAATGCCTGTATGCCTTTTTTCGGTCCAATTGTAAATAAATATGCCATTGTCCTACTGTTTTGTTTTCAATCTCATGCAGGGGTTGGAGGTCTGAGGTAAGACACCTTCCCTAGTGGTTTGAATTACATAGTTTCCCTCGAGGCTCATTGTCCTGTCAGACTTCAGGGCTCACGCAACTGCCCTTCCCTGCCTGGTACAAGTCCATTGCCTGGCCCCTCCATACTAAATTGCAGTCCTTTGCTCTTCTGATCTCACAAGTGGGAAATGGCAGTCAAGTAGTGCAGCAAAACCTGGTTTTGGATTCCCAGCTTCAGTATTTTACTATCAGCTCACCTCATGCTAAGAAACCCAGTTCTTCAATTGCAGGCATCAGAAACATAGGTCAAACTGATTTCAGTCCAAAAATGAGTTGCTTGGTTCTTAAGTCATCAAGGGCTTTGTTCGTTTTGCTTCGGGTCTGGCTGGATCCGGGGGCTCAAAGGATAGCCTTAGGGCTCTTTCCCCTTCTCCACCGTGCTCCTCTCCAGCCTCATTCTGTCCCGTTGTCCACAGTCTTCCTCCTGATGGGGGAGGCAGGGAGGGCAGGATGCCAGTCACTCCAGGCTTACATGATCCACTGGAGTATGCCAGGGGGCTGGGGTAGGGGAAGACTTTCCTCCCTACTTCGGTATATTCAGTATATGTTTATTCAATATAGAGACATCCCAGGAAACATTTCTGATTGGCCCAGCTTGGATAATCATTTGCACATCTTGGACCAATCACTATATCCAAGGGATGGAGTATGATTTGAGGCCACTTTCTCCAAAGGTGGTGAATACTGTGAATTTCAGCCCCACCAGAATTACTTGGAATGGCCGATGAGGAAAGAATCATTTCTCATGGTAAGGGATGTGAAGCAGACCAAACAGTGGCCTGTTGCCCCCCACCCTCTCTAACCACAAGCCTCAGTTCCTCATCTGCAGTGGGGAGGGTGCTTCTTACTATTTATGGAGTAATTCCTGTGTTCTGATGTTCTAAATGCTTGCCATGGATTAGCCCATTAAATCTGGGACATGATACAAAATAATAACCTGCCTCTGAGGCAGGTCTGTTACTAGCCCTCATTTACAGAAGTGGTCACTGAGGCACCAAGCAGTTGAGGTAACCTGCTGGGGCAGGATGGGGGTGGTGTCCCATGATGGTGGAGTAGTATTTAGGTGGGACAGTCAGACTTCTGAATCTGTCCTTCCAACCTCTACACTATAGCTGCCTTTTTAAAGGGGTGTGTGTGTGTAAAATTATATGTAATTGGTGTAAAATGAACTGCACAGTTTGATATGTTTTGACACACAGACCCATGAAATTATCGCCACAATCACAATAGTAAGCATACCCAGGTTTCCTCATGCCCTTTTTTATAACCCTGCTCTCTAGCCTCTCACCATTATGCTTGTCCCCTCCAAACCTCATGTTGAAATCTGATCCCCAGGTTGGAGGTGGAGCCTAATGGGAAGTGTTTGGGTCTTGGGAGCAGATTCCTCAAGAATAGATTCGTGCACTGGGGGAGGTGGGAGCAGAGGAGGTGAGTGAGTTCTCTCCTAATAAAGCTGGTTGTTAAAAAGAGCCTGGTGCCTCCCTGCAACCCCCACTTCTCTCCCCATGTAATCTCTGCACATGCCAGCTCTCCTTCACCTTCCTCCATGAGCAGAAGTAGCCCAAGGACCTCACCAGAAGCAAATGCCCAATCTTGAACTTTCCAGCCATCAGAATCATGAGCCAGACCGGGCACAGTGGCTCATGTCTGTAAGTCCAACACTCTGGGAGGCTGAAACAGGAGGATCACTTGAGGCCAGGAGATCAGCCTGGGCAATAAAGCTAGACCTCATCTCTAAAATTAAGACAAATTTTTTAAAATGTTTAAAGACTCATGAGTTGGCTGAGCAGCAGCTCACGCCTGTAAGCCCAACACTTTGGGAGTCTGAGACAGGTGGATCATGAGGTCAAGAGATCGAGACCATCCTGGCCAACTAGATGAAACCCAGTCTCTACTAAAAATACAAAAGTTAGCTGGGTGTGGTGGCACGCACCTGTAGTCCCAGCTACTTGAGAGACTGAAGCGGGAAAATTGCTTGAACCTGGGAGGTGGAGGTTGCAGTGAGCTGAGATCGTGCCTCTGCACTCCAGCCTGAGCAACAGAGGGAGATTCTGTCTCAAAAACAAAACAAAACAAAACTCATGAGCCAAGTAAACTTTTAATAAATTACCCAGCCTCAGGTATTCCTTTATACCAACATAAAACAGACTAAGACACCGTCCCCAATAAGCCGCTGGTCTTTCTGTCATTATAGATTAATCTGCATCTT